TCTTGTTGGAGCACTGTGCCTTGCACGAGCAATATTCGCTGCTGCACTTGATGTTGTTTCTGCGACAGTAGCACGATCCTCCGTTCTTGCAGGAACCAGACCCAGGGTCGCATGATTCGCAGTGGTCTTGGCTATCCATCGGCACGACTTTCACGCTTACCGGCTTGGGAGGCATCTTCCTTTTCTCTTCTGCTGTATGCGAAGGTTAGACGGCGCCGGATCTCATGTGGTAGGTAAAAACACTAATTTCGGCCGCTTTTATGGCGTCGTGATTGCACGCTGCGCATTCACCGCGCCGTGCGTTCACGCCGTAACATCCGTCAGTCGTAACCGGGCAGCATGTCACCTGGTCAAGACTCTGCCTGTCCGCGCAGGAGGTCGGGATCTGGGCAAATATCCCCAGGAGAAAAACACAGAATACACAAGCAGCACTCATTATGAAGGCCGAATTGCACTACATTTCAGTGTTCGCTGAAACTAACAAGGTACGTACATACGCCTTTCAACCGGTAACCTCTTTTAGAGCTTGCTAGCGCATTGTATGACAGCGTTCTCCGCATCCGGATGTTCTCACGCTGACACGCCGCCCGCTGTCTGAATGTAACCATAATAGCCGTCCCGATCCGGTTGACTCCGTTATGCAGAACTTGACGTAGCTAAAGTGATGATTTTATGCCTTTAGGAAGATTTTACGACACTCTCCCAAATTTGTACCAAACGGGAATATTTTACGCAAGGTAAGTTGGCGTAAATTTCCCTTGTGTTCAGGAGCAGCTGATGTACATAAAGGGGGAGATTTTACGCCAACCTCATTAGCAACACAGATTAGTAGGGGTTTTACTCCCCTATCCTTGTGTTTTGCTAAGAAAAAGCCATAATGGGTACAAAATGAGGAGAGCGGCGTAAAATCTTCCTTTTAGGTCTAAAGGCAATTATGGCGTAAAATCTTCCCTTTAAGCATAAAGGCACAATTTTCCATTTTACACCAACATAATTATGTATATACAACCGTTAACTCCCGTGCAGCAAGTACGTTAGCTATGCCTCTTTGGATTGACTCTAACCTGACGGCTCGGAATCGTTAAAAACGGATGTCAAGCCCTCCCTCGGTTTGATTGCAAAAGAGGTCAGGATTGTTGTTGTTCCCATTATGATATTATTGTCATACACAATCGTAGAGGGTAAGTCCATATATACCTTGATAATACGTTGGAGTAAAATCTTCCCTTTATGTTGGTTTTGAGAACACAAGGGCCATATGTGCCAACTTTCTTTGTGTAATCTTCCTGTTGGGTATATACAAAATGGGGAGTGTGGCGCAAAGCATTCCCTTTAGGCATAAGGCAAAATTGCTCATTCTCACCAGTAATAATGAATGTAACTAAAAGGGGGGATCTATGGCTCATTCATGACAAAATTCCTCAAAAAGTTTTTGCTCCAAGTAGTTAGTAGAGTGTGGACTTCCCTGAAGTGCAGACCTTTCCCCGGAAGTTCTTAACTAGAGGCTGCATGTCTGCTAAAATTCCCCCTTCCTGCCTGTGAGAAGATAGACTAGAGCTAGTTCCATTTCTTTTGCCATTGGAAAATTGCCATAGAAGCTATATAGGAGAGGCCTGACGTTGCTTGTCTTGCTCTGGCTATTGCCCGAGCCGCTGGACCATGTACTCCAATAGCACCGACTCTCGTTGTTTACGACCAGTCAGTGATCCAAAGTCGAAACACTCACTCACTCACTCACATTCCTAAATGGAAGTCAAATCGTCGGCGAATTGCGCATGCGTGGTATACCGCTAATTGATGGGCTGGCTGCGTTTACTCATGGTCTCCCGCTATATAGTAGCTCGCGGAGAGTCTGACACGGGGTAGCTACAGTAGTAATAGCATGCGGGAAGTCGATACACGCCCTTCGTTGTGGCTTCTTGTGCCTTCAGGATACTTACACAGAGCGAGCGGACTCGGTAAACCTGTGCTAATTAGCAATTGGCTTGTTGACTTGGTTTTCACGCCATAACTTTAGACTTTTTACGAAAATCGCCATTTTGAAAATGAAGGCAGTGTAGCGCTGAACCCGTTGGTGTCGCTTTTTGCCTGGTTTGTTGCGCGTGGTGGCAGAAAACGTGGTAACAGACTGACTGACACACAGACCAAGTTACCATTCGCTGCGCATGCGCGCCGAGGGTAATTTACAGTGTGTGTGCACGGCGTGTATAATTATACCAACCTAGTGACGTCACTGAATCATTACGTAATCATAAAATTTCCGCAGCAACGGGGCGTTGGCAGCGGCCCTATGGCTTTTCGCGGCGCTTTGCGCACCGAGGATTAGTGGGCGGAGTTTTAACGCAAAACCACGTTGACCCTTTTGGAGAAGACGCTACGAGTAGATACGTTTTTCGTGGCCCATGGTCGCTTCTCGACAGCGGTGCAGGCAACAGAATGAACAGCTATCAAGCCTGAAAAGTTGTCTTCTACCGGATCGCCAGCAATTTTGAGAGAAAGTCTGATTCAGATTCCTTTTTGCAGCTGACTTTCAAACTACTTTTAGTCTTCAGCTCCAGCTTTGTGTAGTATGTTTGTTTATAATATGTGTGCTCCATGTCTCTGTCTAGTACCGGACAGTGTATGGTGGTACTTTATTGCTTCGTCGACATGCACACATCGATATTGCACAGTAGCTATGTGGTACTTCATTCTTTCGTCGACAAACATCCACTCTGAGTTCAAGGAGTGTAGGTTTGCTGCTGAACTTCATGTTCAGCGTCTTTTGAACTAATAGTCACAGAATTTATATTGCAAGTTGTTCTTTCACTTTACACTTTGTATCATGGGCTCACGTCATGGTTTCTGTAGCTATATCCATGTCAAACTGACTATTTTGAAATCCCTACAGATGTTTTACAGTGTTCCTTTCTATCTCCTCTTGAGCCAGAAGCGTAACAAAGCGCTGGGCAGGGGTACCAGGCTCTTTTTAACGGTATTCATGCCATAGTATGGGGGTTACAAACGCTCCAGTAGCCCCCGATGTCGCGTGCTTGCCGAGTTCTGACAGGCTTATTCAACTTCCTACAAGACCGAAGCACTTCTCCAGGCGTGTTTCTGACTTATAAAAAAATGCCTCGCCGGTGGTGCAGGGCTACGAACATGAACCTGTTTGTTTTGTTTTTTTGTAGAGTAAGCCACCGATAATCGGACGGCATGTATTCTCGGACGCATTTGTGAAGTCTGTGCAGGACTAGATTGGCTACTGTGTATACCAAAGTGTAGTTCTTGGTCATAAACTGTTGTATAAAAATATTCGCTCTTATCCGAGCTTTACCGTGGGAATGACGTTGCCGTAAAGTTACGATTCGGGCACAGCCAAGTTCGGACAAGGCCATCAAAGGTAGGACAGTCTCCCAAAACGGGAACAGTATGAATGATCCAAGCGAGTGTATGCTCGATTGATAGCTGTACCTTTTGGCTATGCAGCGACCCACAAATGGCCCTTTTTTGTCTTCGCTCTTTTTGCTCACGAAAGCGCAAATAGGCGGGGTCGCGTAAGCCGCGTTTTACGCGAAAAGCAGTTTTCGGCATGTTTCTTCTAACACACGCGCCGGATGAAGCTATAAAATTTTCTCCTCGTTCTTCTTGCCTTATATTAGATGCCTGCACCACGATTTCCGTTTTTGTGAGATCTAACTTTTTATTGGTAATTACCAAAAAATAATTATTGGTAATTACCAAAAAATTAAATCTTACAACAACGGAAATCGTGGTGCAGGCATCTAATATAAGGCAAGAAGAACGAGGAGAAAATTTTATAGCTTCATCCGGCGCGTGTGTTAGAAGAAACATGCCGAAAACTGCTTTTCGCGTAAAACGCGGCTTACGCGACCCCGCCTATTTGCGCTTTCGTGAGCAAAAAGAGCGAAGACAAAAAAGGGCCATTTGTGGGTCGCTGCATAGCCAAAAGGTACAGCTATCAATCGAGCATACACTCGCTTGGATCATTCATACTGTTCCCGTTTTGGGAGACTGTCCTACCTTTGATGGCCTTGTCCGAACTTGGCTGTGCCCGAATCGTAACTTTACGGCAACGTCATTCCCACGGTAAAGCTCGGATAAGAGCGAATATTTTTATACAACAGTTTATGACCAAGAACTACACTTTGGTATACACAGTAGCCAATCTAGTCCTGCACAGACTTCACAAATGCGTCCGAGAATACATGCCGTCCGATTATCGGTGGCTTACTCTATACGCTTGTACTTCCGATGCGCAGTACAAAACGAAGCCGGCTCTCGCCAGTGCGAAGTTGTTGCAGGTATCCACAAGGGTTATACTCTGTATATGGGCGAAGGAAGCGCTTTGGCTGTCGCTTCTTTCTCAGTAGAGGCGGCAGCAACCAAGCGTTGACTCGTGCAGGTTTCATGTAGGGGGCGGTTACGCACTAGGCGCGATGATTCCCATATGTATTAGTTAACGTATAGGCGGCGAGGCGGTACAGGAGATACTCCGAGGCCGTTGACTATACCGGACGAGGGCGTAGCCCGAGGCGCGGTATAGTTAACAGCCGAGGGGGATTCCTGTACGCGCCAAGACGCCTGACGTTAACTGATTTGTAGTCCAACTAGCCAATCACAATGCTGAATTTCTATTGCGTCATCTTGCACTAATGACTAATGACTGTTGTGTAAACTTTGGAAGCCAGACAATTTGCACTACGCCCAACGCTAGATGTTGTGATAAGGACTTCCTGTCCAATATACTGATACCTGTGCAGCCCGCAGCCCACAGCTCAGAATACAGCGTATATTCCTAGCACCGGGTTGTTTGAAGTTGGACTACAAGCGCGCTTAAACTAAGTGAGCGCGTGAACAGTGGGCTAGATTCGGAGGGTGTATTCCACACTACATGTAGTGTGGAATGGGTGTGTAGCGAATGTCCGCCGCAGTTGAGTTATTGACTTGGACTTTAGATCACTGACTGGTCGTAAACGGAGTGACCTAGGAGCATTGCCATGGCCGCTATCGAGACTCGCTCGACACTCCTCTCGTTCGACATCTCGGAGGAGACCGGGTTCATTCCCCAGCGGCCTCCCCTATCCTCCCTCCCGCCATACTTCCGAGAGTGGGAAGGGCTGGTGGATCAGCTGAGCGAGAAACTACAGAGGAAGGAGCTCCGACAGGCCGTCCACAGGCTCCCCGAGGTGGGGTTCAGCTCGGAGACGCTGCACAGCGACGAGGAGTGGCAGAGGGCTCTTGTTGTGTTGAGCATGTTGTTCCAGGGCTACATGTGGCAGGACGGGGAGGCCGGGCTTCCGAGCAAGATGCCTGCCCTACTCTCCGTCCCTTTCCACCGAGTCACGGAGAAGATCGGCGTCCCTCTCGTCGGAGTCTACACAGCAAGCGCTCTGTACAACTGGCACATGTTGGACCCCGACAAGCCCATGGAACTCGATAACATTCACGCCAACGTGACGTACACGGGTACAGAGGACGAGTCGTGGTTTTATATGGTGGCCGTGCAGGTGGAGCTGGAGGCAGTCCCAGCCCTCAAGGCCATCTGGAATGGTGTAAGTGCCAAAAAGGAAGGAGACACTGCGGCTCTGGTCGGCCATTTGGCTGTCATTGAGTCTGCCATCACAGCCATTCACCGTACCCTCAGGCGTATGTCAGAGCGATGCAATCCCAAGGTTTTCTTTGTCGATATCAGGCCGTACTTTTCCGGTACAAAGGGGCTGAATGTTTTCCCGGACGGAATGATATACGAGGGAGTTGATTCCAAGCCACGAAAGTATTATGGTTCCAGTGCAGGTCAAAGTTCAGCAATTAGGGCTATAGACGTATTCATTGGGGTGGAGCACACTGGGCCCAACGCTGAATTCATCATAGCAATGGAAGACTACATGCCGCGCAAACATCGTCAGTTTCTCCGACATGTCGCTGAACAGCCGCCCCTTCGTCAGTATGTCGTTGAGAGTCAAAACAATGACTTGATACAACAGTTCAACGCCACGGTAGAGGCGTTTGTGAGGTACCGCAGCTACCACATCACTGTGGTGACTCGGTACATTGTCAACCAGCGAGCTCACAGCGTGAACGCCAGTCTCGACATGAAGGGAACAGGAGGAACTCACTTCATGAAGTTTCTGAAGAGTGTCCGGGACGATACAAAAGCTATGATGATTCACTTGTAACATTGATTGAAGAAATACAAAATAAGAAATGTTTATGAAATGTTACTTATTGGCGAGCGGGAGCGAGCTAACCTAGTGGTCCAAACGGCGCGATTTTTCTTATTTATAATTAATATACGAGACCCGCGTACGTCGTGTAAGTGCGCATGCTCCAGGATTACGCGTTTCTTTTTATCCTCAAAATTTCACATGCTGCCGTGCGTGTGTGTAGCTAGCTCCGTATACTCTCGCATCAGTCTGAGAGGAAGCCATTCGTCGTCGAAGAGAGAGGGAAAGAGAACATCGTGTCAGTGAGACTCCTGAGCAGGGAACGCGCATATTCTTTACACGCTGCCTAGCTGTCATATCGATGCGAAATCTCAGCGAAAGAACTCTCGTCTATTCGCTGGCATTCGCTGCGCTCTTCCGAGGCTGTATATACCTCTTTAAGGCAAAGCAAACACGTCGATCCAGGAGTGAGGACATCTCTTTTTTTCAAGGACAAAAGAAGAGCTGTTCTAGGTGGGATTCGAACCCACGACACTCTGCAGTATAGGCGAGCGCTCTACCAACTGAGCTAGCTACTGGGGCTACTCAGCTGGTATATAGGGGTTCGAATCTACAACACAATACAACACAAAGACAAACCTCAAACCACTGTGCTTTGCTTATACTCTCACTCAGTATGTAGCTAGGAGCAGAGGCCGGGATAATAAAGACACCTAACTCCAAACTTGAGTATAATGTTGTACATGTAGTTACCCTCGGCGCGCATGCGCAGCGAGGGTACTGTAGTTGGGTTTGTCTGTCTGTCTGTCTGTCTGTCTGTCTGTTACTCTCAATCTCACTTCTCGAATGTCTGTTCGTCCCAGAAACGATATCATCTACCCAACGGGCGACGAAGGTCAGAAAATAAAGGCGGTTTTCTCTGAAAATGCTCCTTTGCAAAGCTAGAGCGCTTCCGGCATTCTGCGGCTAATGCGTAGTCGGCCATTTTTATCGCTGCGGAAAACGCGCATGCGCTTATATACCTCGACCGAGTCCGCTTGCTCTGTGTATCTTTAAGGCACAAGAAGTCACAACGAAGGGCGTGTATCTACTACTGTAGCTAGCTAGCCCGTGTCAGACTCTCTGCGAGCTACTAGCGGGAGACCACGAGTAAACGCATACTAATAGCAGCCCAGCCCATCAATTAGCGGTACCGCGCATTCCCAGTTCGCCGAGGGTTTGCACTTTAGTGCTTTTCATTGGGTCTGTCTGTTTGTCTGTCTGTTAGTCTATATCTCACTCCTCGAACGTCTGTTCGTCCCAGAAACGATACCATCTACCCAACGGGCGACGAAGGTCAGAAAATAAAGGCGGTTTTCTCTGAAAATGCTCCGTTGCAAAGCTAGAGCGCGAAAAAGCCAATATGCAAATACACAACGGACGGGATGGCTTACCACAGTCGGATCGATCCGCGTGCTCTGCGTACTTCGGAGGCACCAGAAGATGCAACGCAGGGCGTGTATCGCCTCTCGCATGCTATCTAGTAGTGTAGTTAGCCCGCGTCAGACTCTGCGCGAGCTGGCAAGAGACCACGAGTAACAGCTAAAACTAAACCCAGCCCATCAATTAGTGGTACGGCGCATGCGTTTACTTACGCGTGCGCGTCACAGTGCGCCGAGGGTTTGCACTTCAGTGCTTTTCATTAACCCTCGGCGCGCATGCGCAGTGAGGGTCACTGTAGTTGGGTTTGTCTGTCTGTCTGTCTGTCTGTCTGTCTGTTACTCTCAATCTCACTTCTCGAGTGTTTGTTCGTCTCACAAAGGATACGACCTACTGAACGGGCAATGAAGGTCAGAAAATAAAGGCGGTTTTCTCTGAAAATGCTCCGTTGCAAAGCTAGAGCGCGAAAAAGCCTATTTGCAAATACATAACGGACGGGACGGCTTACCACAGTCGGATCGATCCGCGTGCTCTGCGTACTTCGGAGGCACCAGAAGATGCAACGCAGGGCCTCTCGCATGCTATCTTGCCCGCGTCAGACTCTGCGCGAGCTGGCAAGAGACCACGAGTAACAGCTAAAACTAAACCCAGCCTATCAATTAGTGGTGCTGCGCATGCGTTTACTTACGCGTGCGTGTCACAGTGCGCCGAGGGTTTGCACTTCAGTGCTTTTCATTGGGTCTGTCTGTCTGTCTGTCTGTGTGTTACTCTACATCTCACTTCACGGGTGTTTGTTCGTCTCACAAAGGATACGATCTACTTAACGGGCAATGAAGGTCAAAAAATATGTGGGGTTTTCTCTGAAAATGCTCCGTTGCAGAGCTACAGCGCGAAAAAGCCAATATGCAAATACACAACGGACGGGACGGCTTACCACAGTCGGATCGATCCGCGTGCTCTGCGTACCTCGGAGGCACCAGAAGATGCAACGCAGGGCGTGTATCGCCTCTCGCATGCTATCTAGTACTGTAGTTAGCCCGCGTCAGACTCTGCGCGAGCTGGCAAGAGACCGCGAGTAACAGCTAAAACTAACCCAGCCCATCAATTAGTGGTACGGCGCATGCGTTTACTTACGCGTGCGCGTTACAGTGCGCCGAGGGTTTGCACTTCAGTGCTTTTCATTAATCATGTACGTGATGAACATGCAGGCATGTTGCTGGTTATGGAAAGAGTGAAGTCTTAGTCTGAAAGGCTATAGCAAAACAAGACACTAGTGTATAGCTACTTACATGCATAATTTTGACTATCCACAAGTGTACTGGTAAAATCTACAGAGTGTATGGAGGGTTCACAATGGAGACTCTGATGGCCACAGCATTTGGTCAGGATGTGGCTGTTCAGAGAGGAGAGGGGGACCAGGTCTCCAAGGCTGCTGACACTGTCTTCAGGGCAGCTGAGGAAGGATCCGCCATTTCCCTTGAGTTTCTAACATTCATTTTATGTAAGAAAGGGGAGTTCGAATGACACAGAGCAATAGCTGTCTTTTATACACTCAGTCATAGGTGGATTTGAGAAATTTTCTATTTCCAAAGTATAGCTTTCCAATATTCTCAGAAGTATAGAATACCTGCTGCTATGCCATAGAAAGCCCAACCTCTCGAAGGGGTGTTAAAGTAACATAAAATGGGAGTATAAACTGCCTGTTTCTCATGGTTTACAGCAAGTTTTCCATGGCTGGAACCACTGATACTGAGAGCTTTCCGACAATCAGAAGCAGGACAGGCTATGAAACTGATGCACACAGCTGCTAGTAATCTTATCAGGGCCAGAATCGAAAGTGAACACCCTTCCAAGGTCAGAGTAAAAAGCATCTCTGCAAAATTTAGTTTACCTGATGCAGTATTATAGCTACATAGAATGCAGGCAATCCATGCAGTGGCATGTGCTCATTCTTGCGTATGCATTGTGACTGTATATACTGTGCTGTATTGGTCAATTTGAACAGTACGGGCTAGTAAAATCTATACAGGAACTGTATGTAAGTCAAATTGCCTATAAGTTGCATGTAGCTAAACTTCACTAGGTGTCAGACTGAAAGTACAGGCTCGTATGTACTAAAGAATCAAAAATGCCTAATGTTGTACAAAGATGGGTCATGTCTAAGAGTGCTTATATGTGAATCCTGGAACAGGTAAAAGACTTGCTTCAGCTGATGATAGATGCAACCATGGACGAGGATAATGGTGATAATCCTTCCGGGAAGAAACTGACAAGTGAGCAGATTGCAGGGTTTTCTATTGATTTCTTCCTGGCTGGCTACGAGACCACAGCCACCACCCTGGGGTTTACCTCTTACCTCCTGGCAATGAACACTCATGTTCAGGAGAAGCTGAGATTGATGAATACTTTGAGGAAAATCCAGTGAGTATACATGCTCAGAAGACTAACGTGTTATTGCTATTCACACAGGATTGCTCCCTGTATGATGCAGCTCAGAAATTGAAATACATGGAAATGGTCATCTTTGAATCAATGAGGATGTATACCCCACTACCAAAGTGATATTTGCACAATATTGGTTGGTGTTTTTAATATACAGCGTGTTTGTATATACTTTGCAGGACCCAGCGTCACTGCTACAAGACAGTGACAGTTGGTGGAGTGACTATTCCTAAGGGAGCTGATGCATTTTTTCCTCTCAACATCATCCACCACATGCCGCAGTACTGGCCAGATCCCTACAAATTTGACCCGGAGAGGCAAGTATCTACAACTATCACACTAATACGTACATAGGCATCATTATGTCATAGGGTGTCTCTTAATTATACACTGTAGTTGATACACACGTAACAACTGGCGCGGATAGCATACTCATCAAGAATCGCAACTTTATAAATCTTGCTGTGGTATAGCGCATGTACAGTTTGCTAGTGCACTAGTGCATGCTTTTACTGTATTGTGTACAAATATGTACCTAGCTGCTGGATATTTCACTAGCACAACGCACTAAACTGTAAACAGGGTTTCTTCTCGGCTAAAATGGCTTGATGACTTGTAACCTAAGGCTGTTTACACACACTCAGGTTCACAGCTGAGGCAAAGGCCAATAGACCGCAGTTGGCTTACATGCCATTTGGTTGGGGTCCTCGCAACTGTATTGGACTCAGGTTTGCTCTTCTGGAGGCTAAGATTGCTCTCATGGAGATTCTCAGGAAGTACAGCTTTGCCCGCGCACCAGAAACTGTGGTATGTATTAGACTATACTGTGCCATATAGCACAGTGGTTTGAGGTTTGCCTTTGTTTTGTGTTGTGTTGTAGATTCGAACCCCTATATACCAGCAGAGTTGCCATGGTAGATCAGTTGGTAGAGTGCTCGCCTATTATATACAGTAAAAGCAGTGTCGAAGCAGAGTTTTGTGGGTTCGAATCCCACCCAGGGCAGTTCTTATTTTTCCTTGAAAAAAGAGAGTTGTCCTGGGTGCAGTTGACTTTTTTGCCTTGCCTTTGCCTTGTTCCATGTCGTTGCTACATGTACCTCTTTTAAAGTGTTTGTGATCATTTTGAGAACACTATATACTCTTTACCCAGGCCAGCCCGAAGCCATCAACAGGGTTGACAATGACTCCTAAAGGAGGAGTACTGCTAAAGATAATACCAAGAACCTAGTAAACGAGAACATAGTTGGATAACACCAACTGTAATATAATGTTATTACCACATCAGAAATTAATCATGAAAAGTAGGGTAACCTAATCTGTCTGTGGCAGCGCTTAACGTGCTTACATCTCACTAACGTTTTGTAAGAAAAATGCACGGAGCAAGTGGAACTAATGGTATTAGAACCGACCAATGACCAAAATTCAATGGCAAAACACAATGTGTGACAAACTGGAAAATGTACATGGAGAATAATTGTAGGGTACTGTAATCTCACTTAAAGGAAAATGTCTCCAATTTCATACCAACCACTTTAAGATAAGCAAAACTGTGCTAAAAAGCAGTCCGAAACATAATTAGGCCCTAGTTTTATCCTGGACATGATTACGTGCAAGCTCTCTCTTATGAATGAGAACAGAACTACATCTCTGGGGGAAATAGGGCCTCACATGGAACCTATCATGATGGACTTCCTGGTTTGCACTTCATGGGGCTTTGCTGCAGATGCCAACTTGCATTGTGTGAAGTTGTCAAGAATAGGCAATGACATGAACTTATTGGCAGTAGGATTAACATATTGTAGGATGATAGTCAGGCAATACATACTTTATGAAGCACACTTCTTCCAGATGAGGAAACAGTATTGTCTGACCTTCACCCACAAGCTACTCAGCTAATAGTGTATCCCTGTCTATTGGTTTCCAGCTGATAAATGAGAGGTCATAAACAAAAAGTGTTAATATGGATAGCGTGCATTTAGTGAAAGATATGTAAACAACATAAGCATCATTAACCTTTGGAGTGTCAACATGGACATCACATTACTGTATGTACACATGTCTTATAATGCAGCAGAAGGTGGTATCAATGCGGTAAACAACACGACCATAACTTATCCACGTAAGCACATTTTACGTCAAAATTATGTGGTACATGTGTAGGCTCCTGCTGGAGGAGTGTGATATTTGGACTATGTCGTTAGTCACACCATCACATTGGCAGAGTAGTTGTCAAACACTGTTGGGATGTACTCTCCAGGGAACGCATTGATATATACACCAAGGATAGTGAATAACCATACCATTAATAGCACAAATTCCTTCTACATGGTGACATCAACATCACTAACTAAAATCATTGCGTTATTGCTAACGTTACTAACCTGTGCGATTACGTTACATTACGATATTGTTGCAAAACAAAGAAATTGCTCATCAAAACCAAGGTAAGAAACTATCTTTTGGTAGCCTAGCCCATACATTTGTATATTAAAGGCAAACATCAGGTGAAGCAGTGATGTTATACAGTGGGTCTCGTTAAAATCATACCTGCGGTAGTGCATCCACAAAATATGATAATATGCGGGATATTCTACAATGCGGTGCGTAGCTATACTGTGTACACTGCGGATGTGTATACTGTGTGTGACCCACATAGCCACAATGCAGTTTGTGTAGTTTGTTTAGCTAAGCTAATCAAGCTAGGCTAGGCTACATAAGCTAACGCAGCCAGGTGGAGAATGAGAGTTACAGAACTCCAACCCAAGGTTGTAGAATGCCTACAATAATGACAATAAACGGACAAAAACCAAAATTGCTCAATTTTTCTATGGTAATAGGCGGGATATGACATTATCTGTATTCTTTAAAACGGGAGTAAAATGTATGTGAAAGCAAAGGTAATGGTTTTGGATTTCAGGTTTGTATGATAATAAACGGGATATTCTATTAAACGGTATGATATTAAGTGGGACCCGCTGTAGTACAGGTGCGTAGCTAGCATATTACCGTTAAGAAGCAAACAGGGATGCATGAATAGCTTGTGTTGTTAAATACAATTGTTTAGTTCAAAAAAGAGTCCTTTTCGGCTGAGTCAAGATGTCATACGAACAGAAAGAGAAGGTAAGCCCAAAACACAGAAATACAATGTCAGTAATAATCATTATACACTTAATATGACCTCAAGTTTCTGAGCAAGACCAGCTACACAAGCTCCTCGTGTAGTGTAAGTTGTTTTTCACGGTATAACCAGCAACACAACACTAGGTACAGTTGTGTTTATACCACAGAGCAACAGTGAGGACGAGGATGAATTTGAATATGAAAAACGCTCAAGGATGGGCCCACAAGGAGCAAATGCGGTCAGTAAAATGAACGCTATCTTTGATTCTCATGATGAGTTGCAACTAACCAACTAGCCTGTCAAAAGTAGCTACACACATGCAGTTAGTATGGTAACTAGTGCTCTAATGCAGAGCTCCTTTGGAAAACACAATGATTATAAGTATAAAACTTTACTATGTAGCTGCAACCATAAGAGCCATTTTTGATATAGAATTAGCATGAGTGGGTTCAAGAGAGGATATGACTGGCGATATAGCGTGCGTTTTCAACAGTAACAATGGGAGGGTTAATTGTTCAATGCTCAACATTGCACCATTCTCCATTGCACAGTAAGTAGAAATTATGCATGTGCGTGTTGTAAAATTGCAGGAGTGCGACATCTGTGGATCCTCAATCTTAGTGAAGGCAGTGAGCACAGATTCTGGGGTTAGCAACCTCTGCTGGAGGCACCGTGTGGCCAACGCTTGCACCATTCAAGTCGAGTAACAGTTTCACAACTTTAAAGCAGTTAGATGCACATAGAATGTTTAGAGAGTGTTAGGGTTAGAGAGTAAATGGTATTTATCACACTGACGTAATGGGAAAATTGTATTATAGGAAGGCGGCCATGACTGACAGTGTGTGCTAACTCTATGAAGCTCATGGTGGCACTGTTGAGGTCTTCCCATAATGCATTATCAAACAGAATGCAAGCAACTATAGAGAGTGATGTTGTTAGTAGCTAATTCAGGAAAAGCACCAGCCAGTCTCATGTGATGATCACACTTCCTCTACTGCATGCAACACTCACGTGTCTTGGACACCAAACAAATGAAAAGCACTAAAGTGCAAACCCTCGGCACACTATATAGAAATGTGGAACCCATACACAAGTGTGGCACCACCACAATTGATGGTCTTGACCATGCATCAAAAAGAACGGCATGTTACGCACAACTATTTCCATTCAAAAAATGGCCATTTCTTTTTGAGGCCAAAAATATATATAAGGTTGAAAAATTGCCAACCTTTCATCTCTCTATTAATTTTCTTATTACCTGTGGATTGTTTAGTGCAAAAAAACCCTCAAGGTTGAAAAAAAGTAAAAAAAAACGGCCAGCCCTTCATCTCTCCAGACAGACGTCTATGGACGCAGTGCAATGCCGAACTATACGCTGCCCTTTGAGAAACGTGGGTCAGTGGTAGATTTGTGGGTAAGGGGAGGAACCAGCGCTGTTCCCAGCCAATGCTCTGGACCACCTGACACTTTAGTGCGGGATCGGGATTCAAACCAGGCACCTATGGTGTCAGTCCCCACCACTCTAACCACCTAACCACCTAGCCACTCGGGCTGTCCTTGAGAGGTGATGAAAAAACGTTCCAGTTATACCAACATCCAACCCTCCTATTACATCATTGTAAAAAAGGCGCACACCCCCGGGATTGAACCAGGACCTCACGATCAAGAGAGGGGGTGCTTATCCATCAGACCTCCACCATTACTTGAATGGGAACAGTGTAAATGAAAAGCACCAAAGTGCAAACCCTCGGCGAAGTAGCTCGCAGAGAGTCTGACACGGGCTAGCTACAGTAGTAGATAGCACGCGAGAGTCGATACACGCCATTCGTTGTGACTTCTTGTGCCTTCAAGATAGACAGAGCAAGCGAACCCGGTCGAGCTAAATATAAGCACATGCGCATTATCCGCCAGCGATAAAATGGCGACTACCGGCATTAGCCATACAATTCTGGAAGCGCTCTAGCTCTGCAACGGAGCATTTTCAGAGAAAACCCCACATATTTCTGACCCTCGTCGCCCGTTGGGTAGATGGTATCGTTTCTGGGACGAACAGACACCCGAGAAGTGAGATTGAGAGTAACAGACACAGACAGACAGACCGACAAACCCAACTACAGTACCCTCGCTGCGCATGCGCGCCGAGGGTAATTATGAAAAGCACTAAAGTGCAAAACCTTGGCGAACTGCGCATGCGCGGTACCACTACGATGGGTTAGGCTTTTATGTTATAGTATGCATTTACTTGCGGTCTCCCGCTAGCTTGTGGAGAGTCTGACACGGGCTAGCTACAGTAGTAGATAGCATGGGGGAGTCGATACGTTGTTACTTCCTGAGCTCCCAATGTACACAGAGTGAGCGGATAAGGTCGCGGTAAGCCCAGTGCGATTATGCCTCGTAGCCTGTAGTGCCGAAATAAACGTCGACACACAGACAGACAGGGGAGTGAAATTGTAACAAGTCACGTATAATTATGCTACTTCGTTGGTTTATCGAAAAGACAATTTGGCAATTCTATCCATGAAGGAGAGGAATAGTTGGAGTATAAATGAAAGATGAATGCAGCAAGTGACTATAGGATGAAATGTGAAACACAACGAGAAAATCACGCGACTGGCTGGCCTCAGTGGTCTGTGTTCATTTGAGAGGCCAGGTCTCTAAACTTATGGATGTAGTCCACACTGGTTTCCTCCAGGAGGGAGCGGAAGGTGGGGTCCACCTGGCACAGGAGAGAATTTAGTATACCCAGGTTAATATAAATTATACAAGAAGAGCTTTGTACACACCATTTGTGTAACTCCTAATCCGTGATATTTTTTCATGAACATAATAATGTATGGGTTATTGGTTATTACACTAGAAAGTTAGAGAGAGAGAGGGAGGGAGGGAGGGAGGGAGGGAGAGAGTAATCAACTTAAGTAAGACTGTCTCGGCAGTTTGGTAATTACCATTGAACACTTTGGTGCATGTGGTGACGATACAGATATAGGTTTGTGGAAACAGTATAGCTCTGTTTTCTCGAGTTTGAGGAGGTGGAAGAGTGTGTAGAACATCAGTAGGTATACAGTACACACAAAGACCATTACAGCATGTTTACAACTGGTATGACATATGTATAATGTTGTGGATGTACAGTACGTACCTGAGAAAGTGAGACTCCACTAGAAGTGGCCACTCTGTTCCCATCCTTTTCTGGAGACACCAGAAAATCTGTAATAATAAAAAGGATACATTGCACTGCAATTAAAAGAACATACTATCAAACAGATTAGTAGATAGCTAACACTGAAGTAAACCTCACCTAGCAGAGATCCAATGGAAAAATCACAATCCTGCAAAAGGAAGGTAAGAAATAGCATGATTATATTATTGCCAGCTGTACATGTAGTCACTCATACCAAACACTACAAATCTGCTTCAAGCCCCACCAGACCTACGTATGCTAATGGCTAATGTCAAAAGCTGTGCATTAGGCAACGTCCTGAAAAGAAGGAGCACACCTCTCAATGCACATCCCTCAAGAGACCAAGTGTGTACAGTGTACATGTATAATTCATACCCAGCCAGCTCCCCTTCCTTGCTTAGGACTTCAGCAAGTGGATATACAATATCGATCACCATAACGTACACGTATACTGGGTGAGAAGTCATGGGCATGAGATTAATGACTATAGTTTCAGTCAACGAACTGACGACAATCACAAGAACGTACAAGCTGAGGCTATCGTAGAGAGAAAGAGAGAGAAAAGAGGACCACATAGGCCGCACTTACACAAACACTTATTAACCAAACTAGGCAATGGATGGAGAAGGCAACACAATGGGAAACGTGGCAAGTTAGCAAAGTATAGCAATACACATAGTATTATGCTGTAGGCATACTATACTATTGTGTATATAATGTATGTGCATAGAGACTGACAGAGAGACAGGTGAGACATACGTTGGAGGGAGGAGACAGAAGCCCAGAGGTTCCCCAAGCCGTCCTGGGAGGGGTGGCAGGAAGCTGGGAGAGGGTGTCCATGGGAAGGTCCAGCCCGTCCAGGAGCCCAGTGGTCCTGGCCAGCTGCTGGAAGGTGGTGTCATCCGCGGCCCCTCCCACCAGGACATCCGAGAGAGTCAGTCCACTGTGGCCTCCTCCACTACTCTCATCATCATCATCTCCTGCAAATAGACAAAGACATGGAATGATGAGCATTTTTCTACGTTACTGGGATACATTCTGCAGTAGTATTCATGCGCAGTTTCGGTATTCTCTCAGAGTTTTGCCGTGGTGTTCATGCAGAATACACATACACCCCTTACGGTATTGAGAACAAACTCTAGACAATTATGAAGTGTGTACATAAGTCAGGAGTTGCCATGCACCACTGTACATGTACATACATGCTAATGTTCTTGTTAGGAAACTAAGTTGTAGTACCCACTTACCACTGGGGAATAGTTCCCCAGTCTCAATCACACCATTAACACCATCATCACCAGTCCCTCTACCACTGGATGAGGGGTAGGAGAGAGGAGTGGGAGAGAGAGGAAGGGTTGGAGAACGAGGAGGTAGAGAAGGAGGGAGACCTAGAGAGGATTGCAAGGCCCGAGCAAAGTTTGGGAGGACACATGCCGTCTCCTGAGATAGTTTCTGGATGGCCTCGCTCTGGGACCGCGTATTGAGACCGCGGAGGAGTTGGTCCACTGTGTCTGATGAGGTGTGGAACAGCCCAGACGATGACGAGTGGGTGGGGTCATCAGAGCTGGAGGTGTGGCTTGTGAACAGGTTGCTCAGGATGGCGGCCTGTATGTCACCCTCTGGGATGTCAGACTGGGCCACAGTTACCACTGGTGCTGTAGCAGTGGTAATAATACCAGGGGCAGTCGGTGGAGGAGGGAGGGTGGACGTAGTGGTGAGAGTAGAAGAGATAGGGATAGGAAGAGACGACTGCATCTGTAAGATCTCCTCGGCCTTTCTCGAGATTGCAGTCGAGAGGTCTTGTTGCTGCTCCTGTGGTGCTGCACTCGCAGTTGCATCCTGTTGTTGTTGTTGTTGTTGTTGTTGTTGTTGCTGTTTTTGTTGTTGTCTGCGCTGTTTCTGCTGTAGTACCAGGGTCTGTAGGAGGGTGACGAGCTGCTGCTGGACAACACTGGGGCTGCGGGTAGTGTCAGTAGCTGATGGTGGTGGTGGTGGTTGCAGCAGCGCCTGGTGGTGATTGGGTGGAACGGCAGGGGTCGAGGGAGGGGCATGGGATGTTGCGGGGCCGAATGGCAGCGGTCTTGGGACTATCTGTCGCTGCAGAGAGACAGGTTTACAGTGTACTATCCACAATTTAGAGCCAATGTATGCAGAAACTGTATGCAGTATTACACTTAATCGTGATGCCTATATCCATGCGAAATATATACCATCAGTACTTTTGTGGCATTGTACATACATGTATGCACATAATACAGGCATATTCAGTGTGAAAAAAGTGCTAGTGCATCACAGGGAACGGCTGTAATAGTCCATAGTGCTGCAGTTGACCTCTTTCCAGGTTAGAGCAATTCTTCAGTTCTATAGGCTGGGCCATATTGCAGCTTCATCACACACTACATACAACACATCTGAATGGATAATATTATTGTACATACAGCTGGAAGGTTGTTGCTGGTCGTCTTGGATCTCTTGCTCCTCCTCATGGAGTTGATGAGAGCCAGTGTGTTCCCACTGATCCCACTCCAGCCCACCACATTACTCCTGCACCACACACACACACACACACACACACACACACACACACAGAGTAGAGCATGGTCGTACATACACATCTCCCTAATAATACTGCACATCGCAAACAAGTGTAGCTACGATGTATGTGACTTAACTTCCACTGTCGCCTTATAGTTCTAGATTCATTGTTGCCCATGCTGTGTGATCTCACAAGAGTATATACTCAATGTACGTACATATGTAAGCTACTAGATCTAGTACTACATGACGTGTGTTAAATCTCAAACTTCCGCTACATGTAATACCATGGTTGCGCATACTGATTATTACGCATGTCTGTGTGGAGAGGCAAACTTACACTGAGGAAGCAGTAATGGGAACATTAGCGGCTGAGGATTGCGTCTGTGAGACAGATGGCCCACCGGCTGCGTCGGAAATCGAGGCTGCCCCTGCAATTGGAGCAGAAGATTGCAGGGTAGTTGTAGGGACAGACGGTCCCTGGGGTATCTGTCTGGTGGCAGATGGAGGAAGGACAGACGCCTGTGGCTGTACACTGCTCACAACTTGCACATTCACCGCCTTTGGCACACGAACGTTGGACGTAGTCACACACAAACTGACGCGAGGTCTGCAAGTGGCAACTGTTCTCGGGGCACTGGTCCCTGGCAAAGGTCGGTCTACGACTGTAGTAGTAGATGAACCAGTAGACGATACATTAGCAGGCTTAGATGTATTGGCAGAACCTGCGCCGCTGCGTCTTATGCCAAATAGACCGGCCAGATTGGTGGTTGGGTGGCGTGAATCTAATTTCTCCTTGCCCCTCAATTTGGCAGTCGTTGTCTTACCCTCTGATGAAAGGGTGCCGGAAGCTGCGTAGAACAGGTTCTGAAGGTTCATTCTGTTGAAGTTTCCAATCGACGCTCTCGGTAAGGTGACCTGTTGAACGTTAGACATTGTGGATGTGGGCGGAGACTTTTTGTGAGTCTTGAGAGGTTGGGGAGCGGAGCTGGGGGGTGGGGAGGGGGTGTGGTGTGGGTGGGAGGAGGTGAGGAGGTGAGAGAGGGAGGGTGTGGTTGCCTTTGGAGGGGGTGGAGCGGGAGCAGGGGGGAGTGAGGAGAGGGTGACAGAGGGGAGGGGGGTGGAGAGGTGAGTGGAGGAAGTGGTGGGTGTTTGTGAAGCCGGTGAGGGGAGGGGAGAGGGGAGGAGTGAGGAGGTGGAGGTTGGGTTGGAACTCTGGGTAGTTTCTGTCAAAAGAGATCGAAAGTAAAAACGGCAGATTTGTGGTCTAGATTTGAGCGACTTTGAAAGATAAGGCTACAGAAATTGTATGTTGCACAGTAACAAGTACAAGAGGAGAATAAAGTTAACAAATAAAAGCCGGTGCATGCACTGTGGGGTGCATCACATAAAAGGGCGTGAAACAAAGTGCCATAATAATTCACATTTACTGCTAATGTTCCTCATGCAGATGTATTGTATATACCCTTACCGGAAAGGGACGGTTTTTTTGAAAAGTTGAGTCTCCTGGGAGACATGTGTTTCTTCTGTGGTGAGCGCTGCTTGATGCGACGGTACTTGCTGAGGGGAGACTTCCAGGGCGAGCGGCGACGAGGTAGAGAGCGGATGTAGTTGGCCACCACGGGGCTAGCCACACGGCGAGGAGGAGAGGAGGAGGGAGAGGTGGTGGTGACTGCAGAGGGGGAAAGGGGAGAAATAGAGGACAAGAGAAAGTGTGTATACTATGCAATATCACAGTGGTTTGGGATTTGCCTTGTGTTGTGAAGATTCAAACCCCTCCCCTACCAGCTGAGTCACCCTGTTGCTAACTCAGTTGGTAGAGTGCTGCCTAGACTGCAGAGTGTCGTGGGTTCAAATCCCACTTAGGGCAGCTCTTCTTTGTTCCTTAGAAAAAAGAACTGTCCTGGGTATAGTTGACTTGTTTGTTGTGCCTTTGCCTTTCTCTATCACACTGTAGGTCTGTGGTCTGCTACAGTAAGCAGGAATACAAATCTATGGCCCTATCCTACTGTATGCAAAGCTTCCTGACCAAGAGACACATGTCTGTGGTGTGAGCAAATGTACACATTACTATAGTCTGAGAGGAGGAAAAGTGCCTGTGGTTTACTTTGGTAGCCATACATTTACTATGGCATGGCAAGGGGGTCTTGTGAAGTGGGGAGATAGCGCCCACTCTACCACAATATTAGGATTCCCTCACAATCTGTGTGTCTGGTCCCAGGAGGTGGCTTCCGAGAGAGGCAGCGATCCGATAGCACATTCCTCAGTCTCTGGACACTCTCCCTGCTCCTCTGGGTGGCCACCAATTGCAGGTCGTAGACTAGCCGCAGCTTCTCTGGAGCCCCCAACTGGGGACCCAACACAGACACACATACACCGACAACAACAAAATCCTCATCAATTAATGTTTCACTTCGATGACTATGTACTGTATAGTACAACATGCTGAAGATGCATATATGCAAAGTTTGTGCAATATGAACTATAATTATAGCAACACATGAATCATACCATGGTGTGGATGGAGCTAAGCGTGGTGTTGAAGCTCCATTCAGCTTGATGGGAGGATTAGCTAAGAGGTTATCTTCACTGAGCAGGTCAGGAATCTGATGTACTCCATCCACAGCAGACTGATACACCTGTTCCCCTTGGTCCTCCCTAAACCCTGTTGAGCCAGTCTGTACGCTAGAGTCAGAGTTACCAACAGTTTCGTTGGCCTTGGAGGAGGAATAACAGGTGCAGGTACAACAGACAGTGGACAGCTGATCACTCTCTTGCCCCTGGGACTGCTGAACAACTAACGACTCCCTATTCCCCCCACTATCAGTAGTTGTTTTCAACACACCACCACCACCACCCACAGTGTATTGTGTGATTCTGTGGTCTACACTTGTATGTGGTGGTAATGTCTTGCGATGTGTTGGACATACACATCTGCAGACTGGGTCTGTTGAAGTTGTCCCAGTATTACCCACTGAGCTGTTTGAAGACTTGGGCTGTCCCTGGCTGACACGGGACAGCTCCGTACCGTAACTGTGGTAGAGTGTAAGTGGTTGAATACTCCCCACCTCATCCCCTCCCCCTTCTCCCTCTCCCCACTTCTCTCCTCCCCCTCCATCTCTCCCTCCCCCCTCTCGTCCATCTCGCAGCTCCCACTTTGCAGTGAGGAAAGACTGCAGGTCACCCAGTGTCAGTGAGCACCCAACTGCCAATCTGCAACATTATCAGTTACTACAGTCAAACCATGCAGCTACATGTATGTACACATTTTTTGGATATCCCTAGGCAACCGGCATGTATGAAGCTAGGTACTGGGGGATTTTATCAGCCTATACAATCCTACAAGTGCAAGCAGGGTTCATAGTATGCACATGTCATTTGCCTAGGGATATCCAACAGTACCCAGACAGGACAGCATTCGCCCTTACAGCGTCCTGTCTGGGCACTGCAACATAATACTGTACATACTAAGCTACAGTCACGCCCTGCAGCTATAAGATACAACATTGTACAAACATTTATATACTCTCAGTTGTACAAACTTTTACTCTCAGTTGTACAAAGTCATTGCTGGTTTGAACTTCCCCAGGATGGAAAAGACAAGGGTATTGTTAGTACTACTATGGCATATACTAATAAGTACATACATAGAGGTAGAGACAATAGTGTAATGTGCATTGCAGTGTGTACCTTAGTCTGGGATTTTGGGAGAGACTCTGTACGTATCGCCATGACGATGAAGAGAGTGGGCGGAGCTCAAGGGTGATGGTGGGTGGGATCACAAGGGAGGGGTGAGCATCAACATCTGACACAGAACGTCTGCAAGTACATACAAATGTTAACAGACTATACTAAGAATATTCTACAGTAAAAGTAACTTGGTACTACATGGGAGATGAATGGTAGAAACACACAGGCCAGGAGGAAAAGATTGTATGGAGCAGTAACTACTGTATGAATGGGCAACACATGTAGCTTTTGTCATTTGTCATTAGAGCTTCGTTGGTGTAGTGCACTTGACTTCCAGTCACGACACTGTAAACTCTCAAACAAAAGTTTATTTCCTGTGTACATCTCTACCAGTTCTTCATTCCAAAGACTTAAATTTTATGTGAATGCAGTGATGAGCAACAGTAAAACACGCTTTATACAATGACAAAGGTTCACCTAGAAACTTATAACGGCTTTAATTTTACAGGTAAGACTTACGTGGCCTTGTCGGTGGTCAAAGGACACTCGCTGTGGCTGCTGTCTGCCCCTCCTGCCACCGATGAGGCGACTGGCTTGCTGATCTGAGACTGGAGGGCACAAGGCAGTTGCTCAGTCTGATCTGTACCTTACGCTTCCCCTTTGTCTGCTGGTGATCGTGGTGGACCTGTACAGCAAACACAAAAGGTGTACATCACTCTAGTGACACCACATGCACAGCTACATACATGTACATACATGTAGGTTAATTAACACACAGGTAGTATGCACACTTCGCTACAAAACACATTGCTAAGGCATGCATAATACCCACTCTCACCCAAGAAACACCAGTTCACTGAGTCTTCTACGGAAATTGTGATCACCTACAAGAAGAAACATACAGGTGGCCATAGTGCAGATAATTATGATACACTCCGAGGCATGTGTACACATGAGCGGCTGAAAGACTTACGTACGTACCAACATATGTACACATAAAATAGCAAATTGTGTTGTTTGGACCACTAGGTTACATTTGCTCCCGCTTGCCAAAAAGGCTAAGAAAGTGACAGACCTTGACACCTCTTCTTGAGTTTGAAGTAGGCAATGAGGGCCACCAGATCCAGACTGTGTCTGCCTCCATTCACCACCACACTGTCCCCTCGACCGCCATCTCTCCTTGACCCTCCTGTACCCTGCTGGACAGGTGGTGGTGCAAAATGAATCTTACTACACACACGCACGCACGCACGCACACACACACACACACACACGCACACCACACAGCGCCACTGTGCCACGCACACACACACGCTATTTGATGAGAGCAAGAGAAACTGTGGGCGTGTACATACATTTAGAGACTGTAGAGAGGCTACCCTATCGTCACAAGTGCTCCACCTGCAAGAACGACACACAAACTACACTGCACTATGTTGATAACCTTTTCAGCAGGAAATTGCGTTGCCTTTGGCCTTGATTTCCACCTCTACAACTGCATAAGAAACCAATGACATGGTCGCCACGGTCGTGTGGAGGTGTATCACTCTCACCATCTGTTTCAACAGTAGTGACGATAGGAGCTGCAATACCAGTAGGGATAGAGTGAAGCTCCTCCATTGACGAATCCAGTGGCCCCTCGTCCTCCTCACTCATCACCGATGTCACCACTAGCCCCTCCTCCCCACTTACACTCGGCGCTGAGGAGATGAAATCTCTCCGTTGTCTTCTGTTCCAACTTATTGACTGACTGAGCACGGACATCTGCCAATGCAGCATCAGTAAACACTATGAATTAGGAGAGGACATCCCCTTCGTCTGTTGCGTCTCCATTCACAAGCTCAGTAGTACTATCATTAGTCAATAGTCTGTCACACTTAGCTGCCATGGTATAGTCAGTCCCAGCTCCACTGTCCACTGCCTTCAAGTTCATCGCTCCATTTTGAGACGCTCCCAAATCACCCTCTTCTCCATCTTCTCTCTTTCCTCTTTCTTTCTTTCCCCATCCTCCATCTTCCACCTCTCCCATTTCTCTCCTCCTCCCTCCGCTCCCCCTCTCCCTTCTCCCCAGCCACAGGCTGTCTTCCCACTGGCTAGTCTCTCTTTGGTCAGGGAAATCACCACCACAGTGACACACTAGGGAATTGGCCAACTTTGAAATCTTCATTCTGCACCAAACACATAATTATAAGGTAATCGCCATACTAGAAAACCACATGATGTGTGGTTGTGTTGTCGATTCGAACCCCTACCAGCTGAGTGGCCCTGTAAAGCTCAGGCTAGAGCGCTCGCCTAGACTGCAGAGTGTCGTGCGGTCTCTTTTGAATCCACCAGGGCAGCTCTTCTTCTTTCTTTGAAAAGAAAGAGCTGTGTCCTGGGTGCAGGTGGACTTGTTTGCCTTGCCCATTGCCTTTCTACCTCACTACCCAAGTTGGTGAGACACGTAAGGCAAGTGGGGGGCGTTGTTCACATGTCGAAGAGACACTGCGAAGAACAGACAGTACTACAGAACTCGCATTCAGAAACAAGAGAAAGAATTCGGATATATTTCACTTATTACTAACTACCAAAGCGCTAACAAACATCTTCTAGTCTTTCTTCCACCAGCGAAATAATTTCAGGCCGGTGTTACGCCCCATGTCCGAAGGGTACCTTACAGTTTTGAGAGTTCAAAGAAGTACTGCGGAGCTCTCAGATTTAAAAGCTACAATACAGGGCAAAGGCTTTAAGGTGATCAACAGCTACCACCATTCACCTCAGCATTCAAGTAGTGTAAACCAGACTATTCCAAAATAACCTTACTCGGTACGAAGGTAGACAGTGGAAAAATCCCATAATTTTTGTCTTCAGAGTTTTTCTTTCGGGTTTTGTTTTGTTTTCTTTTTTTACTTGTTTCTTTCAAATGAAAGGGGGATATAGGGATGGCTGAAGCACCAAAAAGGAAGAAACAAGGGGTCCACACAGCAAAGATGCACAAAGCTACATGACACCATCCTATTCTTTGTTTGATATTGTTTGATATTAACTTTGCTTAATAAACAAATAAAACAAAGATATAGGGATGGTGTCATGTAGGCTTTGTGCAACTTTGCGTGTCAATGGACCCCGTTTATTCCTTTTTGGTGCATTAACGCCATCCTATATCCCCTTTCATTTTGAGAAAGAAATGGATTTTTCCCACTTGTTTCCACTATTTGATAACAGCTTCTGGCAACACTGCATTTATTGTTACAAGTTCACTCTGATGTTCACTGGCTAGTTGTAGATAGGCTACAATAGACAAAATGAAAGGAGGTAG